AAACAATTTTCCACCAAATCCTACATTGTTCTTATCGGAATTAATATTCCTTCCCATCGGAATTGATATTCTTGTTTAAAAATGATTGAAACCAGGGTCAACTGCATATAAAGAAATGTGTAGTCTCAGCATCAAAAAAGGGGTAAATGTAATAATGGGACACATTATTTCATCGCTGACAAGTTGTACGTAAGTGGAAAGAAGGCTTTATATTGGTTTCGACAGATGGCGTTAAGGCCTTGTCACTAGACTCCCATTGAGTCCACTGCAGTTTGAGTGCCGGACATGGAGCCTTAAACTAACTTCGGACGTGTGGATCTGCCTCCCAAGATGCTAAGAGGAGAACGGGGGAGAAAGGATTGCAGCGTGGTCATCTATCCGGGTAGTGAATTCCTGCCTTCTTTCTTGTCTTTCTGCGGAGCATCCGCACCTTATAGCAATAATATCTCCAAAGAGAAAAGAAACAAACAAACAAAAAACCCCAAAAAACTAAAGACAAAATCAATCCTCTCTCTTCATCAGATTCTAAACCACTTCCACTGGCAGCACTGAATTTTAGAGTACCTTACTCTCTCACAGCTATTCGTTATCATATTGTGAAAGATATAATCAGACACACATGAAGGGGGATATAACTCTTCCACCTAGGGACCAACACATGCTGTGGAATAGAAGGGCTACATTCCACACGACCCTCAGGGCAGTTCAAGATTCAGTCTTGGCACCTTGAGGAATATGCCGGGCTCTTTATGCACATGCCCTGAATTCTCTTCAGAGGCTGTAGGCGAATGGAGCGTGGCTTTGACATTTCTCCCAGGGGATGTTATCTAACCTCCTATGTCCACGCTTCTGTCTCTGGGGAGCACTGAAGCATTACTGGGGGTAAGAAAGAATCTAAAGACATAAGTTCCATTCAGCCTGCCTTCAGTGTTGACATGGTTTTTCTTTCCCTTATTTTAAGGCCCATCTGGGCATGATACTTCAACTTTTCAATCATCTCTTGGAGGTTGAAGTACATTACATATTTCACATCCAAATCAGTTCTTAAGGAATGTCCTCTGGGCTTAAACAATACATGAAGTGAGGATTTCGGGACAATTATCCGTCACTTTTGTTCAATACTTAAAACATAGTGTATTAAGGCCTCTATGGCTTTCACAATCAAACACACTTAAATATGCAAAACATGTCCTGCACTTTAGATTGTTCCCGACAGCTTACAAACATATTCTACAGGAATCGGTTTTACAATTTAATAAAAAGAAAAGAAAACTTCCTGGGATCCCACATTCCTCATTTATCACCCAGTTCTCTCTTGCCTGTAGCGTTAGTACTTCTCCAAGGCCATGTCTATACTTACCTCACAGTCACGCTTCCCTGGTCATGAACGAAACTGCTTTTTGTCAAGGACACTTATTCTCATTTTAGTCAACTCCTCAATAGAATAAACTATTGAGTATTCCCGTGTTGGAGCTGAAGACAGCACATTATTCTGCTTCCTATCTAGAAAACGTCATCACTGCTAAGATTCCTTCAGAGAGAAATCAAAAAGTGATAGATACGCACCTTTCTTCATCTGAATCTGTTTCATCAAATCCCTTGTCCTCAGTCAATTTTAGTGGATCAGGTGTCGGTGAATGAGGCTTGATCAACATTTCCACAAGTGTCAGGGTTTTTGAGATCCATTGCCCGTTTTCGTTTTTCTTGCCTTTCTTTTCACAAAGGCTAGAGCTCGCACTTTGAAAAAAAAAAAAAGTACATGAAATAGCCATTGGTGTCTCTTCAATCTACTTACAACTCCAAAACAATTTTCCACCAAATCCTACATTGTTCCCATCGGAATTGATATTCTTGTTTAAAAATGATTTAAACCAGTGTCAACTGCATATAGAGAAATGTGTAGTCTCAGCGTCAAAAAAGGGGTAAATGTAGTAATGGGACACATTATTTCATCGCTGACAAGTTGTACGTAAGCGGAAAGAAGGCTTTATATTGGTTTCAACAGATAGTGTAAAGGCCTTGTCACTCGACTCCCATTTAGTCCACCGCAGTTTGAGTGCCGGACATGGAGGCTTAAACTAACTTCAGACGTGTGGATCTGCCTCCCAAGATGCTAAGAGGAGAACGGGGGACAAAGGATTGCGGTGTGATCATCTATCCGGGTAGTGAATTCCTGCCTCTTTCTTTTTGTATCTCTTTGTCTTTCTGGGGAGCATCCGCACCTTATAGCAACAACATCTCCAAGGAGAAAAAAAAATAAAAAATAAAAGAACTAAAGACAAAATCAATCCTCTCTCTTCACCAGATTCTAATCCACTTCCACTGACAGCACTGATTTTTAGAGTACCTTACTCTCTCACAGCTATTCGTTATCATATTGTGAAAGATTCACAATATGTCACATGAAGGGGGATAAAATTCTCTTCCACCTAGGGCCCAACACATACTGTGCAATAGAAGGAGCTAAATTTCACACGACCATCAGTGCTGTTCA